AATACACATGAATAATAAGGGTATTATAATAAAGACAACACATATTTATTACAAATAACTAACTTAACTAATTTTTTTATTTTTTTTTAAATTAGTGAACTGGATCTTATGTTAAGGATCACAAGTAATATGTGTGTGTATTTGGCTTTTTTTTTTCATTTGAAAAAAAAATCCACTCAACCATAACAAATGTGGAGTGATATTGGTCTAGATCATCAAATTTAATATCCGCGTTGTTTAAATTAACAAGATTAATTATTTTAGAGCACAAGCATAAACCATGCATGCATGCCACAAAACTTATATAACATAACACATACCTCTCTAAATACATATGCATATATTTATATTAAACTGTTAGGGTTCACAACATATATGATAACAACACATACCTCATGATAACGTAACCAAGTATACTATATATTTGTATATATTACATAAATACGATAGTAGGGATGGATTATTTATGATATATATATATATATATTGGTATGATCCCATCATAACTCTCCCTCCCTCCCTCTCTCTCTATATTTATATGAAGAGAGAGGTCAAGCAATTAATTACTGTTAGGAATGAGCTTGGAAGGAGGCTTGGAAAGAGTTGGAGAAGGATCGTATCTTCCATAGTCTCTTGTATTTGCCCTCAGCAGCCTCTCATGCATCACGCTCTCTTCCTCCTTTCCCACCTCCTACACCAAATATATATACACATATATTATTCAATTCCATTAATTAATTTTAACTATATATATATCTATTATACACAAACCAATTAATAATATCAATATACATATATATATGCCCTTCCAGTTTTCAGTATTATCTATATACATGGCATTGGTTGCTCATGGTTTATGCGCCATACTGTCAGGTGGCACGCCTCAAAAGTGTGAGAGAGATCTATATGATCATTTGTGTCAAGGGGAAAAGGGGGGGGGGGAAGGGGCGACTTTAGTAACCCATTTATCCGTTGAAGGGTTTTGGCCCGGAGCCACAAGTGGAATTACTTGATCGATGATCATTTAAAAAGACTGTAAGTGAGATGCATGAAGAGGTTGATGATGATGACAATGTTGACAGATGAAACCTAACTAGCTAGTTATCTGTGCTGTGGGTTTTCTTCTTCAGTTCGTTCTTGAACCACAAACTTATCAGAAACAATGATCGAGACAAAGGATTTTCAGACACTTACCTCTTCTTGAACATCCACATCTGCAGGCAACTTACTGACAAACTTTGTTCTTCGACCTGCAAATCCATGAAGCACAACAAAACTGCGAGCTTATATATATGGTTCGAGAACGAAACATACATACATATAGACAGACACACACACACACATGTCAAGTATCAAAGAGTCAATAAAGTTCACATGTGCTCTGCACTAAGCAACTCAAAAGATGGAATCAAGCTCAAATCCCTAAAATGTACGTTAAATTTAATTATTTCCACATGCAAGCACTTGGTTTTAGGTAGCTTTCTCTGGCAACGTGGCTAGGGTTTTTTTGGCACCAAATAAGTCCTCAAGAGATCAGAAAAACTTCCAACAAAAAAAGAAAAAAAACACACCAACCTGCAAAAGTAGCAGTGAAAAGTGACAGAGAAATGAGCAGAAAGATGGTGAACTTCTTGAGAAGCACGAGACTACCCATTATCTCTTAGAAAAAAGAAAACTAAGCAGGCCAAGTTATTATGATATGATGCTTCACTGTCTGTATATTTAGCAGGAAACTATAAATTTGGCTAGAGATGGGTAGTGTGGTGTCGAAGAAAGAATTGAAGAAAATTGACAGTTATATTAAAGAAAGCAAACTTTCTGTTCTCTTGAGCAAGGAATTCAAACACAAAAAGGTAAAAAGTGACCACTTTCCCTTTGTTGGGGCACTAAGTCTAAGAAGTTAGTGGAATGCCATAAACTTGATTAATCAATTAATCAATTCATTATAGGACCATAGTTGAAATCTGACCCCTTAGTGGAAAATTATTGGAGTTTCCTTCACGCATGCTTTACAACAAAATTATATTTTCCTGGATACCTAACTCATATTATATTAATTTAATTTGTACCAAACGACCTTTGCTACTTGAAATACAAATATCCCTGAAAACGAATTAATTAATTCATTGATTGATTGATGGATCCACTTGCTTGACTTCTCATCACGACTAAATAGTGCAGAAAAATTTGTAGGTTAAAGCTTATAAACAAAAACATAAATATATAGCTAAATCGAATATTGAATCATAAATATGTATTAAATAATTTTTAACCAAAATTCATTCTTAAATAGTTACTCGTTGACTCATACACACGCACACACTTGACTACATTTTGTCATAAATCAAATTCTCTCAATAAGCTATACTGAATTAATTAATTAATTATTGAAGAGTCGGGTAAATCAATCTGATATCTCTGTGGCTTTGAATTATATACGTACATTATAATTGAAAATAATTGTTCATAATTGACTCAACCTATTAACTTTTTCATAATCTAGCTAATTAGAAGCCTACCATTAAAGTATTTATGACATGGATAGGGATATGACTTTCTCGCTCAGGGATTGAGATGAATAGGTAAGGGCATATACATATTGCATGGTTGGGCTCAAAAGGAGACAACGTAGGTATAAGACACATTAATATAATTTTAATATCTCGGAATGACTAGTGGTATCAATAAGCCTAAAAGACAGCGACAGCAAATGAGAGGACTTTGGTGGAGAATAGAAGAGAAGCACTGCCTGAGGTTAAAATGTATATTAAATATGTGTGCCCTTTATCTTTAACCCATTTTTTCTGCAAAAGTGCTTTTGGGATCCATGTTCACATGCTCCATCCCTTACTTGAAGAAGCATTATCCTGTCTCTCTCTCTCTCTCTGTCTCTCTCTCTCCATATATATATATAAACTCAATCATTAATTAAATTGATCATCCTCACACCACTTTAACAATCTAGTCTCACACTATATGATTATACTCCTCCGGTCCTTAATATAGGACCCAATTATTGAGTTAGTTTTGGTCCTAAATATAAGACTCATTTATCATATTTATCAATTTTCTCTAAATCACCCCTATAGATACTCCCTCAACCATAATCAAGTAGAAGAGGGAGAGGGGATATTAAGAAAGATGATTATGGTATTTTAGAAAAAATGTATCACGTTTTTTATAATTAACTAACTTATCTAACTTCCTTAATCTAATCAAATTAATTAAATGGGTCTTATATTAAGGACCGGAGGAGTATATGCTTTCATCAAACTGATAGGATCATAGTGGAAGGTCATATATATGGTAGATTGCAAACCGAATTTCTCATACATATCTATAATAATGAATATGCATGACACCGTTGTGTTCTTATATATAAGGTAGAGAGATAATAAATTTTTTATCACTGATTTTCCTCCTTACCTCTTATTAAATGGGAGTGTATAAAGCGTGTGTGTCATAAGGGTAAAGTTACAAACTTATTAAACCTCCATATAAGAACTAATAAGTTTTCGGTGAAATATATTAGAAATGATCGTAGAGGTATCTTTGAATAGATCATAGTAATCCCAGTACCAAACCCCTGCAGGTTACAATTTATTGTTGTCTTTTCTTTTTCTTTTTCTAAATTTATGAATCTCGTGAATGGATCAAGCAAGATCAGATATTGGCATCTTTTATATTCATTCACTGTTTGGCAGTCCACCCACAACAGGATTGATGGAAGTGAGAGACAGGAAACTAAAGAGAGCGTTCAGACAATAATCGACAGTGTGTGTTTGTGTGTGTGAGAATTGTGCTCGTAGATGCAAAAAGAGAGGGTGGCCTCTTTTCTTAGGTATGTAATGATTTAAAAGTGAGAATTGAATTAGCGAATATCTCTGAAACTATTTTAGTTATACATATGCACTCCAGAGATTAACCAGAATTACAAGTTTTTCCTGTCATCTCTCTGCGCAATCAAAACACACATATAGTACTGGAAAGTTCAAGTTTTCTAATTAAATTCCGCGTGGAATATAATTTAGAAACTAAAATAAAAAAACTTTTGGAACCATCAGTCGATATAATCAGCAAGCAAACGAAATTCATAGCAAGATATATCATTCTCATCAAAATATTATAAAGCCTCAAACTCCATCTAATGTAGGAGGTCTCTAATAAGACTGAGATTTCGGATAAATTAATATTACTTATGGACTTCAATATAAGAGTTAGTTTGACTTTCATGTTAATCCTATATATAAGATCCTAATCCATTTTATCCCTCATACTTATTCATTTTTTCTAAGGTAACCCTTGTACCAGTTGCATATGTTAAATATTTCATCAAATGGTAGTTCTAGTTAATATAATATACATGATTAGCAAAGATATTTTAAGAAAAATAATACTTATTTATTCCAAATAACTAACTTAACTAGATTTTTTTATCTCTTAAACTAATCAACTAGTTCTTCTATTAAGGACCAGAAGTAATACCGTGGAGACTGAATTGGCATCAATATGATGCGCTGGGAATCTTTAGCCACCTTTCTGGATATGATCGATCTTCTTTGCGATTGTTTATAATAATATTAATTGCTACTTTGTCACATTGCGCTTCCAAGTGGACGTTCTTCCTTTCTTATCATTATCACGAAGACACCGTCACCTTGTTTGCTTCTTCTATATATGGGGATTTCTTCTAAACCATTATTAAAGAAGCATTCAGTTTCCATCATTTTTAGGGGAGCAACTTTTGCTCCATTCAACAATGAACTGATTATATAAAACATTTCTAGGATAATTAAAAGGCACATCTTTTGGTAATTCACGCTGGTGTAAATGGGAAAAAAACTCTCATCGCTTAAATAAATGGTTGGGAGTTTGAATGTCAATTGTTGTTTACGTAAATAAGTACTCGGAAGATATCTTTGGCCAACAAGTACCGGGATGATTTGAGTTCTTTGTAGTGTGAATATTCTGATAATGAGCCAACAAAAAATTAAAATTAAACATAAGAGATTAGTCCCATGTACGTGTCGAATTGTATATATATTTGTGGAATTTCCCCTAGGAATAACATGTTTCATCGTCCAATAGAATAACTAACGAAAGAATTCACAACATGTCAATGTAATAAACTCATAGAGACTGCCAGACTCCTACCATGGAGAGATAACTATGATGAAGAAGCACCCTCTGGTTTTTGGTCACTTTGGTTCTTTTGGACAGCTTCATTGCGTAGACTGTTTTCTCTTGCGTATGCAGCCTTAGCACCCTGCATCAAAACTAAATGATTAGTTGATTCTTGTTAATCAAATACAGACAAATCAAGAGCAAATTATGATTAGAGGATAATGAAACTTTTGTTTCCTTAAGTTTGTCTAATTTATTATTTGGTTTTTGAAGTTTAATCTTTGTCAATTTAAGTCCCTAAAATTTCATAACCATACATAATTACATCACATCTGTGTTTATGATTATATGTCTTCAACCTAAATATTAAAATAAAAACCAATCACCTGATTCACAAGCACCTTCTGTTCAGATTCATTCTTGTAACGATATGATCCTCCAGCTTTTTTAAACCATAAGAACTAATTGTGTACGGTTATGAAATTAAACTCTAAGGATTTGATAAAATTAAACTTTCAGGACCAAATCAATAACTGAGGCAAACTTGAGAGACAAAAAATTTTGGTAATTCTATGATTAATTAGTTGGCAACACTTACTTGGAAAATGGTTCCTAACTTTTTCAACCCTCTAGCCCGTAGCCTTAAAACATCTCTGCTGGCACTAGGATCTTTAAGAACCTGAGCCAGAAACAAGTGAAGTATCATTTTTTTAAAAGTCTTGCAATTAAAGTAAAAACTAGAGAAGGATAAAAGAATAAAGAAAGATATATGCAGAAGTAAATTAAGAATGTAAAAAAAAAAGAAAGAAAGACGTGATGTAAATTATCTGAGTACAACATATGTTGTGGCTTGGAAGTTTTCGGTATTAATCAATATGATAAAAATTGTCAATTAAGCTACAGAAAACAAACGGTGATAAAACATACAGCTAGGCAGACATGTGAGAGAGTTGTTTCAATATCAACCACATTGATCTGCCAAAGGGAATGAATCATGGCATCCTTCTTATCTTCTATCGCTTTCTCCAAGTTTTCGTCTTTGTTTTCTCCTCCTTGGTTTAGCCTCTTCAGCTCTTCTTGGATTTGAATCAAGTTCACAGCACCTAATTAATTCTCAAGTATATATGTATACATATCAGTGTCATTACTTGAAACTTTTCCAACATCATGAAGCCTCCAATCCATCAAGTAATCCTTTTTCGGATGAAATATCCAAATATACTGTCTAGTCTAGCGAGTACCTGAAGCAGCCATGACTTGTGACTTGATCTTGTGTCCTTTGTCTCTTACCCACTCTGCTAAAAAAGGTACTCTCATATATCGGTTATCCTTTCCAATTTCTTTTGCAGCTTTTCGCGTGTAAATATACCCAATTGTGTGTAGCATGGCCTCTCCAAAAGCTGGAATAGTGTCATATATTACTAAACAAATAAATCCTTAGCATAGAACCAGTACATAACACTTAAAAAGGAAGTTCATCGCCCAAGATACTGCGATTTTTCATTTTCTTTCTTTATTTTTTTTATCGAATGTTTCACTTTCTAAATTATTAATAATTTAGAGCAATTAATTAGTATTCTAAGATTATTGCTCACAATTAAGGCACAGGCACGCCTTCTGCAATCAAGACATGATATTCTCATAAAAGATATCTTTCATTAAGAGATATTAATTAGTATCATACTTTCACTCAAGAAACATATTTAAACATTCTGCATATTGGTAAATCATGATATATATATATATATATTTGATTTATAAGTCTTACAGCTTTCGAAGTTCAATTAAAAATTTTTGTAAATGAAATAAATCCAAACCTTATATTGCACCAGAAATTGGTGACATAGTACTCATTTTAGTTTGAAACAGAAATTTTGATTAATCAAATTGAAAAGAATCTATAGCAACAAGCGCATTTTGGAGCAGACAAGGAAAAAAAAATCATAATGAATAAGAGCCTTGGCATGTAAAATGGAATGAAATAAAAAGAGAGAGAGAGAACAATCTACCTTAAAAAAACTATTAAAATCTAAAGAGAGATAAAAAAATTTGTGTTGAAAAAAAAAATTTCCCCGTTTTTCCTTTTAATTTTCAAATCAAACATGCCATAATGCCAAAAACTCAAACCTCCAAATTGCTTATGGTATCTTCAAAACTCCATTGATAGTAATGCCCCAGTTGGCTAGCAAATGAAATATTATTTGGGCCAAGAATCGAGATATTTAATTTTTATGATACATTTGTTATTCTTATTTAGCAGTAATTTATACCGAACGGACATTTTTCATCTATAATTTTCTTTTTTTTTTTTACTTCTCTATTCTATTCTACCTCTGCCAAGAGAGAAGAGTATAGTTAGTACCGGCTTGTGAAAGTTGGGCTGCTTCTGAATTTGCCCATGTTGTAAATTCTTCTGTTTTACCATCGACAAAGGGTTGGAGGTGATGTATAAGAGCGGTTATAAGTTTTTCTTCCCTATCTTTCTGCCATGCCTACGTACGGATCCAAATTACAGCAGTTCAGCAGTTAATAACAGGAAGTGGGAAGCAGAAACTGCATGGGATAACAGAGAGAGAGAGAGAGAGAGAGAGAGAGATCGAATAAGTGTACTTTTATCTTCTCTTGAATTATTAGCTTACGAACTTCAGGGTCTTGTAGGTCTTCCTCAACTTCTATGGATGCTAGAGAAGCCAATGCAAGTTGCCCTATATATTCCTCAAAACATTCACTCCCAAACAGCATCCCAAATACGGCTGTAGGGTCTAACATGGATTCTCTGCCAACCAAAATGTTCAGTATATATTATTCACTTTCTCAATCGACACATATATAAATAAGTAGTTGGTTTAGCAAGACACAACAGGAAAAATCAGAGGGAGGTCATCAAAGTATAAACATTGTATAAGTAGTACTCTAAAATCATGACTTTATGGCTTCAACTGCAGAGACAGAATTTCATGAAATGATGGAGATCATAACCAAACAGATTTTAACTTCTTTTTTCAGTTATATATGTATATGTATATTTGTATGTGTATGTGTATGTGTATGTATGTGTATATATATATGAGGTTGTATGTAAACTTACTGTGGTACTCCTGACTTTCCGTGCTTATCATATGCTTCACGCTTTGTAGGATCACTTAAGACCTGGTACGCCTCACCAAGTTGCTGTGCACAGATACCATACAGGACATATTCCATGAAAAGGAAATTGAAAGAGAAAACACGAGATGTCTTGAGCTTTTTTTTTAACCACATTCAAGACAACTGAAAGAAGAAACCAGAGATAAAAGAATGACAGGCAAGAAATTTTATGACTGATTCATGTTCGGACACAAAAACCAACCAGGAATGATAAATAATACTTTATAGAGTACGACATTGTATCATGAAGGGCAGTGAGTTCAAAATCCGCATCAAACCATTCACTCCTCAACGTGCTCACCTGAAAATTCTTGGCAGCTGTGGGATCCCCAGGATTCTTATCAGGGTGAACTATCCTTGCCTGAAAAAAAGAAAGAAAAGTTGTCAGCAGCCTAGCTCAATCATAAACACAACACCAGAGGTCCATGTACATCTAAGATGTCAGCAACTAAGTTCTATCTGACAAATTAAACACATTTATGTGACGAATAAGACCACTATGCAAGTGTAAGAAATTGTTCCAAATGATACGTGATTCAGTTGAAAACATAATCATCTAACGTATTCAGGGGCGTACGTCAGGGAGGTACAATGCAGATTAGCTGTATGGCAAGATCAAGTTAAACAAATGCACTGGTACAAATTGAACGTTCACATCACGCCTTTCAGATTAATTAATTCCAAAATATAAACACAAAATTAAGTTCAGAAGCATCGTCAAATGTGAGTTCGTTCGGCGCCCATTTATGCTCTCAGAATTCAGGAAAGGAAACATATTAAGCATAGATGGAGAAGGATTTACCTTGATATAGTAGGCCTTCTTGATCTCAGCAGAGGAGGCATCAACGTCGACGCCTAATGTATCGTAGTACGTGGTGTCCTTCACCATAGCTTGATGATATCCGAATCACAATTCCAATCTCTCGAATAAGTAACTTGTGAAAATGCAGTCACCCGGTTATTATGACCACGATTTGATACACACTTGCAAGCGAAACATTCTAAATGGTGAAAACCCTCAAGATGAATGCGAACGAAAGTACATTAAATCGCTTTTGTGATTTCCTTCTTTCTTTGGAGTCGAAGGTATAACGTAATTTTCCCAACGACGAGAAACTTGTTTCGCTCTTTATTACTCCTCTGGTAATCACGGGCCGGAGAGAGAAGGTGCTTTTTATCTTATTCATCACGTCATTTCGTTATATTTTTAGCGTTGATGTATTATTTCAAATAAAAATAAAGTTAAAAATTTATTATATTTTAATAAAAAATTAATACATTTTTAAAAAAAATTTAACTATATGAAATATGTTACTCTTTCAATCCTTAATATAAGACCCAAGTGTTGAGTTGGTTTTAATCTTAAATATAAGACTCATTTTTCATATTTATCAATTTTCTCTAAATTATCCCTATGAATACTCCCTCAATCATAATCAAATAGAAGAAGGAGAGGAAGTATTAAGAAAGATGATTATGGTGTTTTAGAAAAAATGTGTCACTTTTCTTATAATTAACTAACTTATCTAACTTTCTTAATCTAATCAAATTAGTTAAATGGGTTTTATATTAAGGATTAAAAGAGTATATTTTAATGAAGTATAAGCTTTGGTTTTTGAGAAAAATATTTTCTAAAAAAATACCTAAATAAAACTCGTTTCTTTTTACGCGGCAAGCCCAAGCGCCAGGGGCTTGCCGCATAAAAAGAACAGACAGGATTAATTGGCCGATCGGGAAACTAAAAACATCTTGAGCGTTCATTGTTAAAAAAAAAAAATCCTATCCGTTCGTTGCTGATTAGCCTATCCATCCTCGCGGTCACGGAGCTTGTTTTCATCGCCGTGGCCATTTTTGTGCGTGCTTCTTCGTCCCCTCCCCACTAGCTCTTGATTATTCCTGGTCCTTCCGTCTTAGCCGGCCTATGACCTTCGCGATCCTTCCTCCCTCGCCGGCATACTACGGCGATACCGTATATTATTGATACTGATTTTATCCAACAGTGAGTAACGGTTTGCAACGGATTGTAACTGCCATTTACCACCATGCAGAGTTCTGCGCGCCCGCCGGCCACTTCACAGAGTGTGAGATAAAGGCATTGCAGAACCTTGTTCGAAAATGGAGGTCAATACCATGTCCCAGGCTTTGCAACTTCACGCACGAGTTCTGAAATTAGGAAACACACAGACCAGCGAGTCCCAGAAAATTTTGTCCAATATCTTCACTTTTTCTGCCCTATCAGCCGCCGGAGATCTCAACCACGCTCGTCTCATCCTCAAATCCAATCCTTCTTTGAACTCTTACTTTTACAACACCATCATCCGAGCTTACTCTTGGAGCTCCGACCCCACCCATCCCTCACAAGCTCTCTCTCTTTTCCTCTCAATGCTCCATGGACCGTCCCATAACATGCCTGGACCTGATAAGTTTACTTTCCCCTTTGTACTCAAATGTTGTGTCCGTTTGAATCTCACCCCTCAAGGGGAACAGATCCATGGGTTGATTGCTAAAATGGGTTTGAGTTCGGATTTGCATATTGGGAATTCTTTGATTTATATGTATTCAGAGTTTGGGGAAGTGGGAAATGCATATGATGTGTTTGATAGAATGTCTAAGAGAGATGTGGTGTCCTGGACTTCTATGATTGATGGCCTTGTTGACAATGATCGGCCTGCTGAAGCAATAAAGAAGTTTGAAGAAATGTTGGAAAGTGGGATTGAGGTGAATGATGCTACGGTTGTATCTGTTTTAAGAGCATGTGCTGAAATGGGAGCGTTAAGTGTGGGGAAGACAGTGCATAAAATTGTGAAGGAGAGGAAGCTTCATTATAAGGGTAATGTTATGACAGCGCTCCTCGATATGTACGCCAAATGCGGTTGTATAGAAAGTGCATGGCAGGTTTTTAATGGTGATATCATGGACAGAGACGTTTTTGTTTGGACGGCAATGATTTCTGGCCTGGCTAGCCATGGAAAATGCAAGGAAGCTATTGACCTGTTTTATGAAATGGAAGCTTCAAAAATAAAACCTGATGAAAAGACAATGACCGCAGTTTTATCAGCATGTAGGAATGCGGGCTCGATTCCTCAATGTTACAAATTTTTTAGTAGCATACAAAAAAGATACGGTATAAGACCAACTATTCAGCACTACGGTTGCATTGTAGACCTCCTAGCCAGAGTAGGTCGTTTAAAAGAAGCCGAAGAGTTTATTAATAAAATGCCTATCAAACCTGATGCAATACTTTGGAGAACCCTGATATGGGCTTGTAATATTCATGGGGATACTACTAGAATTAAGCGTTTGATGAAACACCTTGGGTTACAAGAGATGGATGCAGATGATAGTGGAAGCTTCATACTTGCTAGTAATGTTTATGCATCAGAGGGAAAGTGGTGTAAAAAGGCGAAAGCGAGGGAGCTGATGAAACAGAAAGGACTAGTAAAGCCAGCAGGATGTAGCAGGATTGAAGTTGAAGGTGTGATACATGAATTTCTGATGGGAGATTATAATCACTCTGAAGCAAAGAACATATATTTCAAATTAAACGAAATGGTAGATAAATTGAGAAAAGAAGGGTATTATCCAAAAGTTTCTGAAGTCTTGCTTGAGGGAGATGATCAGGAAAAAGCCAATCAGCTGCTTCACCACAGTGAGAAACTTGCTCTTGCTTTTGGATTAATCAGAACAAGTCCAGGGTCTGAAATCCGGATCGTGAAAAATCTAAGGTCTTGTGATGACTGTCATGAATTTATGAAACTAGTCTCTAGGGTGTACCAAAGAGATATCATAGTAAGAGACAGAATACGTTTTCATCAGTTCAAAAATGGTGACTGCTCTTGCAAGAATTACTGGTAGCATTAAGATTGTTGTTAGATATTGGCAATTGATGTGCAATGAGATATTCAGAAGCATACAAGACACGGGAACTGCTAGTTTTGAGGCATAATTTGTCAACTGAAAAATGTATATATTTGAAATGTTCACTGGAATGCTGACTTAAAAGCAGAAACTCCTTTTCATTCTTTTACCTATCTTGCTTATTACTTTCTTTAGTGGGGAAAAAAGTCGCTGAACTATTTATTATTCCTGAGATTCGCTATTTATATGACTAATCTAAGAAGTCAGAAGAACAAGGATATAAGAAATGTGGCTTTATGGTGGAGAAATTATCTGGGAGTGCATTAAAATCTGCCTCCTTTTGTGAACTGCAAATTGAAACATGCGACAGAATGAGACTGATAAGATTATTGCAAGGATGAATGGTGCAAGCATACCGAGATAAGGTTTGTTCTTATTATTGTTATTGTTGTTGAACGGTGCAACCAGAACGCCCAAAGACTCTCTTTTGAAGTTAATACCCTTGACAATTTCTTGTGAGTCACCCTGCTTATGATTACACAGTTGGTATCCACTCTTTTTACTACTTTATGATGATAACTTGCGAAACCTATCGGAGATTTGCTCTTAAATTCTTCAAAAGCAAGGTGCATGTTCTGACAGAAATTTCCTACGTCAGAATTCTATGCTGTTTGCCTTAGTTTTGATGAAAAGTGACATGCTTGATCATGTCTCTCATGTTTTTGGTTGGTTAGTAAACTAATCTGGACTGTGCTGTGCCTCTCATGCATTTTTGGAAACACTACTATGAATAGTCAAGGTTTGTAATGAATAATTAGTGATTGCAGTGATCAATGTGATTTTTTTACCGGCATAACTGCAATTGGATAGAGAAATACTAATTGTTTTGTTTCTAGAATGACTTGTATGGGGAAATGAACTTGTTCCCATAACAGCAAGTCGGATGGACTTTGTCAGTCTAAAGTACTCTTATTGGGCTATGTGGGAGGGGAGGCTTGTCCATGAGTTGTTAAGTTTTCTTTTTTTGGACCGAAAGGAGCGTTGTTAAGGTTATATTGTGTTTGACCCCAAAAAATGGTTATTTGTAGCCCAAAAAAAGGCTATTTTGTGTTCAATAATACTTTATTTTGAATAGTTAGGACTTTAATTAAAATATACAGATTATCTTTTACCATTTGAATAAGTGTGGATAAGACTTCACCCATCCTATTTCTTATCCTATCCATCCAGGATTAGTGTGGATTCTTATATTTTAAATAGTCCTCCTTATCATTCTATAAATAGTCTTAGTGTTTCTTCATTTGTAAGATCCTTTAACAAATTAGACAATAAAGTATTTTGAAGTCACTCTCTTTCAAGTTTTTCCACTCCCCTAGGTTTCTATTATCTCTAAATTGTTATTTTATGCGTCCTTCCCTCTTTCATCTTTATGATTTCTAAGGTTAGTGTTTATTTGGGCCCCAAAAAAATAATAAATTAGTACTAAAGTTGATGGTTACCAATTTGAATTTTTCTGCATAAATCTAGATGGTTAAAGAAATTGAACATTGTTTCTAGACTACCATCACCCCCTTTCCTCATAAAATTGCGAAAATTGCGGTTGTTTAGCAGCCAGGTTGGTTTTCTAAAATATCATGCCTGACAGTTTTTTTGGGTAAGAAAATTGTTAAGGACCCGAATTATAATTAATTAATTAATTAGCTAAAAAAATCAGATATTAAATGGAAAAGATCATTCTATGAGACACAAAAATATAGAATTTAACCACAAGGGAAAAAAAAAGAATAATTCATTTGAATAGGCCCCATATAATCCTCTTCATTTTATCACTGACCAGATGTGTGTAAAATAAATTTTACATAAAGTTATGCAATGGATGTTTTATAGTACTTTCTCCAATCCTTAATATAAAACTTTCTCCAATCCTTAATATAAAACTTTATTTAACTTTTAGTTTGGTCTTAATTATAAGAATCCAATCCATTTTGTCTCTCATATTTATGTTTTTTTTTGTCAAGGTAGTCCTTCTAATAATGGTCGTTTTAGCCAATAAACTTGATTAGCAATGATATTTTAGGAAAGACAACACCTA